ATTTTATTATTATTATTATTATTATTTATTTTTATTATTGATTTTTCATTATTTTCAACATTGAAGTAAATCCCCAAAGAAAATGTGCTTGCTTTCATGATCTTCTTCCTGTCCGCCAGGCATTCTTCAGGTTTTTGTTCCCAAAGGTCTGAATTCCCAAAGGCCCGGAGCATGGCGACCAGGGCGGGCAAACAGGACGTGGTGTGTCAGAAGGGCATGGCGCATCAGTTTGCGCAGCACTTCACGCAGGCAGGGCATGCAGGGCAGGCGTGCGGGCAGGGCGCAGTCCCTGCCCTGGCTCTAGAGGCTTTCTCGATGAGTGATTATCGCCCTCCCAGAAGAGGTCCAGCTATGGTCTCCACTCAGCTGAAAGCCATTGCCGGAAGGAATGTGGTAACCCGGACCGAGTCCTCACTCAGGCATGCAGCTGTCCAGGTGTCCGGCTGCAGGGGGTGCCTGAGCCTGTCACTCATGCCAGAGGCAGCGGAGACACCACCTGCGTGCAGTGCAACCAGGTGAGCGACCTGCTCAGCCTGGGGCCAGAGCTGAAAGAGGCAGTGGAGAGGCTGAGGAACATCAGGGAGTGTGAGAGGGAGAGAGATTGGTGGAGCCACACCCGGCCATCCCTGAAGCAGGGGCCGCCGGCCTGGTCGTCCCTGGGGCAGAGGCAGCTGGTAGAGGCTCCACAAGCAGCAGGGGATCCCCTGCCCTCTTGCTGCAAGGCAGAAGGAGGGGACCTAAGATATGAGGGGGAATGGGAACAGTTCCCTGCTCAGGGTGGCAGGCGAATCCCCTCTCAGCCTCACACACCTTCCCAGCTGCCCTTACGCAACAGATATGGGGCTCTGGAACTGGAGGGCCAGGCATGTGAAGATATAGATGAAAGTCCGTCCAGGAGGTTGCGTAGGGTGTGTCAGTCAGCCCCACGCATTATGACTACTTCCCTTAAGGAAAAAAAGGAGGGTAATTGTCATAGGCAGTTCCCTTCTGAGGGGAACAGAGGTCCCAGTATGCCAACCAGAATCAACCCACAGGGAAGCCTGCTGCTTCCCTGGGGTCCGGGTGAGAGATGTCACCAGGAAACTTCCTGGTCTGGTACAGCCCACCAACTACTACCCGTTGTTGATCATGCAGGTTGGCAGTCTCAAATGGTTTTGGTCTTCAGTTTTCAAAGATGATCAAAGTAGTTCGCATAAGGAGATAGCTATCAATAACCCTTTTCCTTGATGGTATATGTTGCATGCTCCTTGTTAACTTCTGTCAAACAACTGCAAAATACAGGTTGAGGCTGTCAACCTCTTCAGTCATAATCCTCTGAAGATAAAAATCAGTTCAGCTTCAATTCTTTTGTGCCAATGAATAATGTGAGTATTCCTTGGCATCAGTTTGTGATACCAAATTACATCCCACTCTAGCTACACCTACAGAAAATTATGAAGCTTTCGCTATTACTGCTCTGAAATTATTAATGTTCTTAATGCCACAAATATTGTCCTGACAGTGCCACTGTCACAGCAGGAGGGCTGGCCTGAGCTGATGGTGAATGACCACTATAGGCCAAACTTAGTCCAAGGTCCTCTGCAGTGCCTTTGAGTGGTGCACCATAGGCAGCACCATCTTACAAGCCTTGTATTTATCACAGCATGGAAAAATGCAAAAATAATTCTAAATAATACATGGTGCCTCCCCTGTAAATGTGGGTAAAGTAAATTTTTTGCTTTTGGGTCTGTGGGAGAGAAATAATGGCAGCACTGATCATTTGGGCCCCTCACTACAAGAAAGACACTGAGGTGCTGGAGCATGTCCAAAGAGCAATGAAGCTGGTGAAGGGTTTAGAGCACAAGTCTCTCAGGAGCAGCTAAGGGAACTGGGATTGTTCAATCTGGAGAAGAGGAGGCTGAGGGGAGACCTTATTGCTCTCTACAATTACCCAAAAGGGGGTTGTGGTGAGGTGGGTGTTGGTCTTTTCTCCCAAGTAACTAGTGCCAGAACAAGAGGAAATGGCTTCAAGTTGCGGCAGGGGAACTTAGAGTGGATATTAGGGAAAATTTCTTCAATGG